CGTGAGATCGGATTGAGGTTAAATTTATCAAATTCAACAGTTTATGACCACTTGAAAGGCCTGGGATTATCCTCGAAGCTCGATGTATGGGTTCCCCATGTTCTCACAGAGAGAAATCTGTGTCGCCGCATTGACGTCTGCGATTCGCTTCTCAAACGTCACGAAAATGATCCGTTTTTGAAGCGCATCATCACTGGGGACGAAAAATGGGTTGTATACAACAACGTCAAACGCAAGAGGTCATGGAGCAAAAAAGATGAACCGGCTCAAACCATTTCCAAAGCCGATATTCACCAAAAAAAGGTGATGCTGTCTGTTTGGTGGGATTTTAAAGGAATCGTTTTTTTTGAGCTTTTACCGGATAACACAACGATTAATTCGGAAGTCTACTGTCATCAGCTGGACAAACTGAATGATGCACTTCAACAGAAAAGGTCAGAACTAATCAACAGGAAAGGTGTAGTGTTTCACCAAGACAACGCGAGACCTCACACAAGTTTGGTCACTCGCCAAAAGCTTTTACAGCTTGAATGGGATACAATGCTACACCCACCATATTCTCCAGACCTGGCACCATCGGATTATTATTTGTTCCGGTCACTCCAAAATTTTTTAGACGGTAAAACCTTCACCTCAAATGAGGAGGTCAAAAACCTCCTCGATCAGTTTTTTGCCAGCAAAGACCAAAAATTTTATGAGCGTGGAATTATGCTACTACCAGAAAGATGGCAAAAGGTGTTGGACCAGAACGGTCAATATATAATTTAATAAAGTATTTGTTTATTATACGAAAACTGTCTTTCATTTCCACAAAAAAAAACGAAATGACTTTCCGAACAACCCTATATATTGACCAATATTACAAATCTCAAAATTTCCAATATCAACTGATGATGTTCTGATTCGCGTCTAAACGCTGCATTCTACTGCTTATTATTCAAGCGCAAATTTATGTAAACCAATTCCAAACTAATTGAACCAAATTGCGTTTAAATGCGTAAAACCCGCATAAACCGTAAGTGGTAGTAAGTAGGAGCCGATGATAAAACCAAGGCTGTGTCTTATCAGCCAACAAGGTCATGACTCGTTATTTATTTATTTCTCTGTTTTTATTTGTAAATACTTACGATTAGGCATACGTTTCATTCGCATTCGACCTCGTTCAAAACAAAAAATGAAATCGAAACAATCGTCCACCTCACGGGCAATAATTTTTAATGCACATACATGCATATATGTAGGTTAATACTTGAGCTAGGGAGTCAAAACTAAAGCCGACTATCTAACGAGACCAAGCCAACTTTTTAAACAAAAGAACGTAAGAAACTTATTGTAATAAGAGGTGGTGGCTAAAATTGTGAAAGTTAAAAATTAACTTGCGAGTTATTACGTATTCGCGGTTTGAGGGCCGCACTCGTCGGTCTTAGCAACCGGAACGGGCAGCTAACGTTGCGTTAGATGCGACGAAAGATGTACGAGGGTGGATTGATAAGTTTCCGGCCTAACCAAGAGATGACGCCACTAGGCCTACCTTGAGGTGACATTCTATAGTACCATCCTTGGATAGCTTGTAGCTATAGTTTCAGCCCGATCTCCTTGCTAGTGTAGGTTTGACAGCACGCTGAACAAGACGCCTCTGTGGTTTTCGTAAAAATGGAAAAGCAGGAAAATCGTGCTGTCATCAAATACTTTTATTTGAAGGGGTTAACGCCGAAGGAAATTAAAAAAGAGATGGACTCAACACTGGGGACATCCTCCCCGTCATATTCAACCGTTAAGCAGTGGGTTTCCGAGTTTAAAAAGGGTCGTGTGAGCACCTCTGATGGGCCTCGCTCAGGACGCCCCGTTGAGGTCACAACTCCAGATATGATCGAAAAAATTCATCAAATAGTGCTGGGAGACCGCAGATTGAAAGTGCGTGAGATAGCTGAGACCTGTAAGATGTCATATGAACGTGTGCAACATATTTTGCACCAACATTTGCATATGGAAAAGCTCTGTGCAAGATGGGTGCCGCGTTTGCTAACAGTCGACCAAAAATTGATTCGAAAAAACATTTCTACCGCAAATTTGTCATTGTATAAGCGTAATCCAAGCGAATTTTTGCGTCGATTCGTAACCGTTGACGAAACGTGGGTCCACCACTACACTCCTGAAACCAAAGAACAGTCTAAACAGTGGATTGGACCAGGGGAACCAACTCCAAAGAAGGCAAAAACAATTTTTTCGGCGAACAAGGTTATGGCTACTGTTTTTTGGGATGCAAGAGGTATTATATACATTGATTACCTTGCAAAGGGTAATACTATCACTGGTCAATACTACGCAGACTTATTGCAACGTTTGAGCCACGAGGTGAAAATTAAACGACCTCATCTGGCGAAGAAAAAAATCTTGTTTCATCACGATAACGCACCAGCGCACACGTCAATCGTTGCGACGGCTAAAATCAACGATCTAAAGTTTGAATTGATGCCGCACCCTCCTTACTCTCCAGACCTAGCCCCGAGTGACTATTTTCTGTTCCCTAATCTCAAAAAATGGCTTGGCGGTAAGAGATTTGCGGACAATGAAGAAGTAATCGAAGCTGTAAATGGTTATTTTGAGGAGCTTGACGAATCAGTCTATAGAGATGGCATTAATAGACTGGAACACCGCTATGAGAAATGTATCAGCCTTGGAGGAGATTATGTTGAGAAATAAAAAAAAAAAATTTTTAAAAACCTTGTTTTTCTTGGTCAGGCCGGAAACTTATCAATCCACCCTCGTATTTCGACTGTCATCAGTGTCAGAAGTGAGCAAGGGTTTCAATTTGCTCATGACCTACAGCGACGTAATTAGGGTTGCCACCTTTTCAGGCTTTACATAAAGTATTTCTCGACTAAAAGGTTAAAAAAAAAGTACTCAACATAAAAATAAAGGAGATTATGTTGAGAAATAAAAAAAAAAAATTTTTAAAAACCTTGTTTTTCTTGGTCAGGCCGGAAACTTATCAATCCACCCTCGTANGCATAAAAATAAAGTATTTTATTTTTTGTTTTTAAAAACATATTTTTTGTTACACCTAGCAGTCAGTAACAAATTGCTATCGCTCTTAAATACATTAATAGCCATTAAACATGGCAAACAAAGCTTTAAGTAAACTAAAAGTTGATTTTTAATTAGTTTTAATGAAGCTTTATTCCTATCGCCCCGCCACTTTGCGTTCATAACAGAGAATACTCTTTCTGTAAATGCTGAAGTGGCCGGAACGGACAGCAAAAGTGACACTACTTTGAACAGATTTGGGAAATCAGGTTGTTCCGTAAATATGGCTTGCCATTTTTCTGTGCAATATTATTGATGTAAAAATACTCTGAATTTCGAATAATCGCTTGCAAAATTACGATATTTACTTAAGGCCTTAAATAAATATTTTTGCGTACTTTAAGTGTCTTGTAAAGTATAACGTACGCACAGTCGAAATAGAGTACAATACTTTATAATAAAGTACGGGTGGCAACCCTAGTCATCAGTGTCAGAAGTGAGCAAGGGTTTTACTTTGCTCATTACCTACAGAGGCGTAATAGTAATAAATCGTGTACCATTGCAAGATGAATTCTGTTGCTGCTTTTGTAGACAAAGAAGTAATGTAGGATGTTTTATTAATTTTTGATTTCCAAAGGGCACACAGGTACCTTAAAAGAGATGCTTTTTCCGATTCGACATAACGTTATAGGTATATGACTTAAAATAGATAGTGGGAGAGTGGAAGAAGAGGTACCATGAGACCACGACCTTCACCCTGCCCCCACAAACGTGTAATCTATTGAATGAATTACACGCAAAATTCATTGACCGACCGCCAAATTTATTGTGTTGTACACACGCGATACGCGACACGCGCATACACAGCGAAATTTTGAACTTTCTGTGCACCTATCTACACATGGTTTTATTCTTGACGTAATGATCATTAGCACAAGGATAAAGTGCAAAGTCACTTACAATACACTTCCTATTGGTTAATTCAAACTATCTAGACCTTCGATTAACGATTTAATGCTCGCTACTGCAAATAAGAAAATCCTTAATAACGATAAGTTACGAGTACTACCTACAAAAAGTTGGATGTGATTGCGCTCACTCTTTGTTCCGATCACCTCCAAGTAAAGTTAAATTTAGAATTAAGATAATATTTTGCTGCCGAGGCGAATGATATGTATACGTATATATATATATATATCTACACACACAGAGTCAATGAACGCCAATCTTTGTATATAAACGCGAATTTTTTTATTCAGGCGCAAATCGAATAACGTTTTTAGTCCAAAACAAAAGGCAGCAGCAAACGCCACGCGCTCTTGATACAGTGCAGTCGTTTGTTTATTACGGTCATACAACTGTGCATAAAGTGAAACACGCTAACAATAAATCGACTACTGGGTACATTCTGTTTGGGAAATTGACGATTACTCACTACTCGTGTGTAAATATAACAATAATAATGTATAATATTTCCAACGGTTTGCATCACTTTCTGATGCTAAGAAAGATGCGTCATCGTACGAATAATAAGTAAACACGTTAGGTTGAGAGATAAAAGTTTAAAACAAACGCGAGTGCAACAATTCACTTGTATCATTGTTAGAACCGGTTACGTTACACGTATGTGCGTAGTTGTCATAGCAGCGACCGAAGTCAACCAATCAGTACGTGTGAATTGTAAAACTGTTGTTATAATTGGTGCTCCCACAACAATGGAATAAAAAGCTATTCGTCGATGAATCAGAAATGGCTTCGTTTCGTCAGCAGCCAATAAGGTACAAACTTTTTCGTATATAAATAGTGCAGCATTTCCGAGAGACGCATATTTCAAAACCATTCGCCTTACCGTTGAATAATTCCGCTTATTTAATTAAAGTACTTACAAAATGCACATTTTAATTAGGTATTTAACTGGGCACCTGCGTTTATATCAAACGTAAGTCACTTTTATTTTCGTAATATTACTCAAGGTTTTTTATGTGACCTATGTACCTATCTAGATAAAAGCATTTGATTCATTATAATATTTATAAGTTTAGTTGTGGGAGGTAATCCCCGAAACTACTCATCCGATTTAAAAAGTTCTTTGGCCCATAATTAGAATGGACTTTCAGGGTGGACATAGACATTATATTATTCCATTAAAATAAAAGGGGTTTTCGTGGTGACCAACCTTGCAACGTAAAGCGGCGAAGAAACGGTCAAGGGAATGCCATGCAAACAAATTAATGAACCCAGTTTAGTATTGCGTGCCAATCATGTTCTTTTAATTGTTTGTACTTTCATCCGCGGTTTCACGAGGCACATACGTATCATTGAAAAAATCACGCAAGACGCGTGCGGAGTTCACGCAAGTAAACGGTAATAATACGACTGTGCTTATCGTAAGAAAGTACTTGTGGAGTTCCCGTTCACGTCTGACAATAGTGTATCAATTATAATACAAAACAGTATCTTTTCAATCGCTTCGTATTTCGTGTCATTCTCGGAACGGTTACGTGTAAGTTCGTGACTGACCGCGACCGCCTCACGCCCGCCAGCCACGTCGAAGTTGCCCCGATCGACCTGCGAAGTACTTACTACACGAACTTCGCTCGCACGCTGTGCCTGTATATACGGCAGCTACTGGCGTCAGCCAGACAGTTTCAGGTGAACCGTTGCCACGAAAACGTTGCGAGAGAAACGAATGGGTGCCGGTACAACCACTACCAGTAATACCATAAGCGGATTTTCGACGATGCTTGTAAATGACCGTTTCGCGTTTTTCTATAAAATACGAATGAAAACTACTGTTCGAATTACACGCGCAGCTGTGGAACGTTGATGGCAACACGTTATTTTATCGAATTTCGAATGAAGCGTTGTTCCGCCTGTACTTTAGCCACTACTCGTTCAATTTCTATACATGCACGCACAGGCATCTGCTGAACGACACGATTAGTGATTTATTCAACGAGTTTACGTACGGTTAGTTTGAGATTGACCGCGTGTATCTGAAAGACGCGAAGTGTGCCGATAATCGTTTAATTCAAGAATGGAAAACGAAAAGTTCATTGGTTCTACCATAATAATTGGGGCTGTAGTTGGTGTTTTTGTCCTTATAACAGCTTACATCGTTCGTCTGTTAAAGGCGGACACAAAACAAAGTAAGAATCCGAATTTCTAGGTTATAATAAAATTGATCCCTTTAATATCTAAAAATAAAGAGGACCGCTATTTGACTTAAGTAAAATTTCCAATAGTAATAATAATAATATTGAAAAATTGTCAGTGGCGAATTTTTCGGTATCGCTCACACGCGTCTGTGGTTATATTTAGCACGTGTCAAATTTTCGTTTGTCAAACGGTTGTAAACAAACAAGGAGTATTATTACCGGCTTTTCGGCTACGATAACAGTATGAATGGCTTTTGGACGGCTTCTAACACTGGTCCCTTGTAATTCTAGATGAACGAAGTCTCGCCGGAAAGGCATCCGAACAACAGCAGCAACAGCTACGTCAGAAGCAAAAAAAGGAACACCATCACCAACAAGGGCACGCCGCTTCCGGAACTGCATCGTCAGTCAAGAATAAGAAGAAAACTGCCGATTCCCGTTGGATCGGAAGAAGCGACAAGCAAACTTTTGCGCACCCGTGGCTTCTGACCTCACTTAAAGGACACACTGGACAAGTGCTCGACATGGATTTCTCCAGTAACGGAAAGTATCTCGCTTCTTGTGCGGAAGGTAAGGAGATTTTTTTTTTATTTCCACTCGCCCCTCTTCCAAATGGGTATCTTTTCCCAGTGAACTCATTAACCAATAATTGAAAAAAAAATCGATAATGTTACTTTTAATCTCGATCACAGAAATCAAACGAATCTCAATGACATTTTCTCAGAATCAATAGCACATATTCATTTTGCAATCACTTTAAAAATTATTTTCTCGGCAACAAATCATATCTGCATTTTTTACGTAACAACGTAATCAGACCCATCGATCGAAGTCTATATTTTGTATTGGGTGACCTTTAACGTGACGAATTTTCTTATATAATCTCCAGGAAAGATACCCATCCCTAGGTCTCATAAATATCATTATATCTAAAAAGGGCACAATCTTCTACACTGACACTGCTGCTTTCAATACTGTAGGTAACCTTTGTCTATTTAATAATCAATTTTTCTTCATCAGCGAACATCGCATTATGGCATACGTATGTACTAATGTGCATTATCAAAGTAATAAAATTGAAGACATTAGTAGTAATACTGCAATAATTATTACGAAATTTTATAAATCGTCCTTGTACAAATATCTACTGTATAATAATACAGATAATTCTTCTTATAAATAATATGTGTTTTTTAAGTTCTAATATTCTGATATAATTCATACTTCTTCATCCAGCTAGCTGTATTTACTAGAAATTATTTCGATTAATCAGTGTACACCTGTATTATAGTTTTCCGATTGGCTTTGTGGTGAAAGTGCAGTGTTGGTGTGGGAATAGATCGTGACACAAACTGTATTATTTAATCATTTACGATATTGTAATTGTGTTGTGCAGAAGAGCCGGACCCTGGCGGCGACCAGGGCGCTACCAGTTGCTCCTCATCGTCTTCGTCATCTTCGTCGTCGTCGTCGTCGTCATCATCGTGTTCCTCCTCGTCCGACTGTAACAAAGAGAACAGCGAGCCGTCGAGTGCGGCCCCGTCTCCCCGAACCACCAAGGGTCTGTCGCGTCGTCAGCGCAAGAACAGACGTCGCGACGACAGCTCGCCGCCAGAGAACACCAACACCAAGAAGAAGCCCAAGCCAAAAAGGTCCGATCAGTTCCTGAACAATAGCAACAGTAGCAACAACGGTAGTAACAACAACATTTCCTCCTCCAACCACTTCATCAGCAAGAGGTCGATACCACCACCCCACGTGTCCCTCAAACAATTCGTGAAACTCAACATCTCAGAGCGGGACTTGGCGTCGTTCCTACGGGCGTATCTTCTCAGTCCCGAGCAGATGTTGACGATGGGTTACCCGGTCGAGAGCAGCTTGCATCCGGGGAAGGCGATCATATTCAAGAGTCCCATAAGTGTGCCCTCCTATAGTATTAGTGATTACAGACACGCAAAAATTGACGTGAACAAGTCGCGATTTGACGTGAATGCACGTGAATTCGTTCCAGGACGTAGAGGAAGCAACGGCGGGTGCGTGGATTACGCTCATATCAAAGCCGAATGGAATGCGAATCATCACGACAGCGGCAACGGCTCATCGGGCAGTTCGAGCGATCTGGACGACGGCGAAGACGGTGGCGGAAGCGAGGCGTCGAATACGACGACGACGTCGTCGTCAAGCGACAGCAACATCAGCAGCAGTAATTTCACAAAACTAGACGACGATTGCGACACGTCGTCGTCGGTCGCTAATAAATTAGTGAACAAGATTAAAGAGTGCGACTTGCACGGTGGTGACGTGGGCGAGGAACGCAAGTGTGTCAGGTGCGGCAAGGGATTCTATGTGGGTAGCGATAACGAATACGTTACCCAAGAACAATGCCAGTATCATTGGGGCAAGTTGCGTAACGTGACGGGTAGACATACCAAGAACTTGGATAACGACAATAGTGAGTACGCATGTTGCCGTGGAAAAAGCGATTCGCGCGGTTGCACGACGGGCAAATTTCACGTGTGGAACGGACTGGCGATCGGTTTCAACGGCCCTTTCGACTTGTACGTACGCACGCGACCCCGCAAAACGCCGCCCCCGGACGGCAACTACGGCGTCTATGCTCTTGACTGTGAAATGTGTTACACGGCCCAGGGACTCGAACTGACCAAGATCACTGTCATAGGTGTCGACGGACGTCTGGTGTACGATTGTTTCGTTAAACCCGAATGCGAAATCGTGGACTATAATACGCGTTTCTCCGGGATCACGGCCAAGGACTTGAGCAGAAAAGGCACCACGAAAACGTTACGGGAAGTGCAAAACGACCTGATGGGATTCATAAATGCGGACACCATCCTCATAGGGCACGGGCTCGAAAATGACCTGCGCGCTTTACGTATAATACATTCGACAGTAATCGACACAGCTGTGACTTTTCCACATTACAACGGATTGCCGTATCGGAGGTCCTTGAAATCTTTGACGTCCTGTTTTTTGAAAAGGGAAATACAGCAGAGCGGACATGGACACAATAGTAATGAAGACGCGAGGGCGTGTATGGAACTTATGTTGTGGCGGGTCAGGAAAGACTTCCGAAGCATCCTCGACCATTACCATCATCAGTAGAGTCGATCTTCGACACGACGACTACGCGCCCTCTCCCCTCGCGCCGCCCCCCTTCCCCTAAAACTGTAGGCGGCTCATTTCGACAACGGTCATTCAATCTCATTGTGCCTTTATTTATTATGCATCTCATTTCTTCGTAATCATTTTTAAATGTACTGTAAGAAATGTGATTTAGATTTTTATCTTTACAAGTAAAACATTTCTTGTTTATAATCGTTTGTCTTTTATTTTTTTTATAAAAAAAAGTGATTTTTCATCTCATTCTGTTCGTCCTCTAATTGATTAAATTCATCCTTATCGGTAATCCCCCTTTCCGATCGAATTTCCTTTCAGAGAAACATTTCAATAAATTATTCTTGAGGTGATTGCTTATAAGGAATCATAATTTCACTGCTCATCTCTATAGAATTTTTAGTACCTATTAACTGGTACAAATCTCCTTCACATGATTGCATATTTGTGCCTGTCAGCCATTGCCTTGCAAGGTGTCTTGCCATCAATGGATTCCTATCGTTTAAAAAGCATTCATTATTAATGTTACTTAAAAAAATCCACAGTGTGATTTACTCTATAATTTTTTGTAACTCGAAATCGACACTTTAATTAATTAAAGTATACGTAGTGAAGTGGCATCTTCATCAAGATAATGTACATTTACGATTAGACATTATTAAGCGAAGCCAACGTGGAATACTAGTATTACTACGTGTTTAAAATAAAATCTTATCAGCTGGTATTTACGCACGCTGCAATCAAAGTAACTTACGAGTATCTACTATTTAGTAACAATTTTATAATGAAATGTAAATTCCTGGGATAAGAGACAGGTTGAGATAAGAAGTAGGCGCTGATTTCATCCACACATAAACGATAAACTTGATGCATGTCATGATTTATTACAAACTACGTAAAAAATTAAACTTCTTGTTTCCATGTAAATACGTATACAATTTGAGTGGTTTAAAAGCAGAAGTCAAAAAGAAATAAAATTATTGGTTTTATAGATAAGTATGTAAAAAATAAAATAGTGAATATCAAATGAATTCTTCTTTTCGGATATATTCACTCGTAAAAATGAGTGAATATACTTTTCGGCATGGTTCTACGATATATGCAGATTTAGATATGCGCTACATATTATGATAATGGAACCTCGTTCCAAATGTCCAAAAAGGAACTTGAAATAGATATACAAGTGGTTTGTATAAAAAGCAACAGGTAGTTGAAGAATTTGAGCTACGTTGAAGAGAAGGGAGTTAGGCAAGGATGTTCACTATCCTCACTACTTTTTAATTAGTAATTATAGGCGATATAGGTTGGTATAATTCACAAATAGTTAAGGATGTGGGGTGTTTTAGTTTTAGCGAAATGCGGAGATTAGCTCAGGGTAAGAAAGAGTGAAGGTGAAGGTGCGTGTCCAACCAGTCTCAGGACTGACGCCCCAATGATGATGATAATGATGTTGATAGAAAAGATTAAAACTGAGAAGGTGTTAGAAAGAGTGTGAGAGCAAAGAGCGCTGTAGAAATCAATAATAAATAGGCGACATGGACTGATAGGTCACATTCTCTGGCATGAAGACCTGAATAGACATATTAGAAACAGAAATAGTAGTTAAGAGGTAGATCTAGATCACATTAGAGATTTAGGATTTTCTAATTTTCATGAACTTCAAAAATGAGCTCAAGATGAGAAGAAGGGTACGGAGATGATCTTACCATGGTGTTCAAAAATAGAGTTTTCTGACTCAGTTCCTAGATACCTGGGAGGACTTCAACTATTGCTGATGATTTATATAAGTAAAGTGACCAACTATTTTTTGTTCAAAAAGAGTACACTTTGCAAGTATTTCATAGGTGGAAAAAAAGAAGAAAAAACGATAAAAACATTATTTTCTTTAAAAAACATATTTTTCTTCGGAGTGGATTTTTTTTGCTAAATGACGATGTTCGTCTAATAATGTGGCCACATCTGAACAACTTTTATTTTGCATATTAAATTTGACTGTTAAGACGGCAGATAATGTTTTGACAGAAAGTTGCGACTTCTCACTGCTCCAATAATCATTCCCTAGTGAACAGCAGCATTAGTGTGTGAACAACATAAGGAATTTTCTATTAAAACCTTTAAATTTTCTTGTGGGATATGTTCTACTCTAAAATGCCGAAAGATTTCTACCCATCTTTTGTCAAGTTCTATTTTCTCATTGTTCCATTTCTTCAATTTTTCTTAATTTAAATATAAATTTACTGTTCGAATTTCTTCAAAGAGAAAATTGTCATTAATAACAATATATTTCACTAATACAAACGAGTATAAAATTATACAAATGAGTACTTTCAGAGTACAGGATTTGAAAAGAGTACGCGCGGTTTGCGAAAAAACAGTATAAAACTCAGTAAATGAGTATAGTTGGTCACCTTAATATAAGAAATTATGCGACAGAAACTAACAACACATTAATAAAAAGTAACATGAAGGAATGGAGGTGCGTGTCCAAGTAGTCTTAGGACTGACGACCTTATCATGAAGAACAATGATGAGGATACCGTGGATAGAGAAGGTTACAACTGGTGAGATATTAGAAAGAGCATGAGAACCGAGGGAAGTCAAAAAGGAACAGGAGGTATGGATTAGAAGGACACCTTCCCTGACATGAAGGCCCAAATAGACATATTAGAAGCAGAAACGGCAGTTAAGAGGTACATCTAGATCACATCAGAAATTTAGATTTTCTAGTCTTCATGAACATAACAAATTAGCTCAAGATGAGAAGTGTATGGAAGTGATTTTATCATGGTGTTCAAAAATAGAGTTTTCTGACTCTGTTACTAGATACCTGGGAGGACTTCAACTATTGCTGATGATTTATATAAGTAAAGTGACCAACTATTTTTTGTTCAAAAAGAGTACACTTTGCAAGTATTTCATAGGTGGAAAAAAAGAAGAAAAAACGATAAAAACATTATTTTCTTTAAAAAACATATTTTTCTTCGGAGTGGATTTTTTTTGCTAAATGACGATGTTCGTCTAATAATGTGGCCACATCTGAACAACTTTNAATGTTTTTACAGAAGGTTGCGACTTCTCACTGCTCCAATAATCATAATCCTAGTGAAAATACCCTTTCAACAGCAGCATTAGTGCCTGGACAACATAAGGAAATTTCTATTAAAACTTTTAAATTTTCTTGTGGGATATGTTCTACTCTAAAATGCCGAAAGATTTCTACCCATCTTTTGTCAAGTTCTATTTTCTCATTGTTCCATTTCTTCAATTTTTCTTAATTTAAATATAAATTTACTGTTCGAATTTCTTCAAAGAGAAAATTGTCATTAATAACAATATATTTCACTAATACAAACGAGTATAAAATTATACAAATGAGTACTTTCAGAGTACAGGATTTGAAAAGAGTACGCGCGGTTTGCGAAAAAACAGTATAAAACTCAGTAAATGAGTATAGTTGGTCACCTTAATATAAGAAATTATGCGACAGAAACTAACAACACATTAATAAAAAGTAACATGAAGGAATGGAGGTGCGTGTCCAAGTAGTCTTAGGACTGACGACCTTATCATGAAGAACAATGATGAGGATACCGTGGATAGAGAAGGTTACAACTGGTGAGATATTAGAAAGAGCATGAGAACCGAGGGAAGTCAAAAAGGAACAGGAGGTATGGATTAGAAGGACACCTTCCCTGACATGAAGGCCCAAATAGACATATTAGAAGCAGAAACGGCAGTTAAGAGGTACATCTAGATCACATCAGAAATTTAGATTTTCTAGTCTTCATGAACATAACAAATTAGCTCAAGATGAGAAGTGTATGGAAGTGATTTTATCATGGTGTTCAAAAATAGGGTTTTCTGACTCTGTTACTAGATACCCGAGAAGACTTCAACTATTGCCGATTATTTATATAACAAATCATACGTACATCTGTACATATTTATGTACCTATATTAACCCACATTTGTTCACTTGTTAACTCTTATTCCTGATTTATACAATAAATAAGAACGGGAGAACTATGTACTTGTACCTGCTCAAAAACATTTTCTTTCAAGTTTATATATTGCACGTGGTTTCGGTTAAAACGACTAATTGTTCTAACCAATAAGTGAAAGTAGGGGATTCCCCACTGCTTCACTTCCAAAACTACTGAAGAACCTCTCATTCTCAAAAAAAAAACAATCTCCGCTAATAAATAAGAAAATATTTTTTATAGTACAGTTAATAATAATGTTAACGATAATAATGTTAAACAATTATTACTTATCTATATCTCTTGTGATATACGAATGTACATAATGTGCATGTGCGATCGCAGTGTAGATACGAGTTTAATTAAACAGATATTGTCGAGTAAAAGCGGTAAATTGACCTTTGTTTTAATTTTATTTACGAGTAGGTAACCATTTTATCGAGCAGTTTATTTGTCATGTCCTACAAGTGGATGTAAGTAGTTGTAAATGGGTGTCCATAAAAGTTTTGAAGCGCTACACGCATCTGCCGAAGCCGATCTGATAAATTCGCATGAAAAATACTTTCGTCAAATATGTAGGAAATAAAGCTCGGAAACAGGTCACTCATTTTTACAACAGAAACTACGAAGAAGAAAATCGTTTAAAATACAATAAAAAATTGTACAGAATTGAAAAACGTATTCGGAAACTTTAAATTCTTTTATTTACTTTCTGGAACCTTCTGGAAACATCCGGGTAGTTTATTATTACTTTGAACTGTTTAAGTGCTTTCTCAAAACGCAGGTACGACACACACATTTACAAATACGGCGCACATGAAGAAATGCGCCCGCGGCTAGTCGGCGAATCGATAAGCCGATCGCACACAAACACACTCGTGCAAGCTACAAACACTGACATTTTTAGAAGTTTTTAATATAAAATAGTAATCTGAAAATTAATTTTTCGAATTTTTTACCCACTACAAACTACTTCAGGTTAATCAGGGAAAACTGTTGCTGTTGTTACACCCTCGCCAGGAATCGAAGCCGGGACCAATGCTTAGTGGTCAGAGAGCGTTTCGTTTTTAATTATGATGCACTCTTTTACACCCACCTTTTGACAAATCGTGGCCATGCTAATGACTGGGATATGTCTTGATTAATATATTAAGTTTTTTTGTTTATTACAATATTACGCCTTAATTACTCAACCGATCATCATGAACTTTTGTACCCACA